ACACACACACACACACACACACACACACACACACACACACACACACACACACACACACACACACACACACACACACACACACACACACACACACACACACACACTATGGACGTGGAAGCGGTGATTGAGGCGCATGATGGGTATGATGGGTATGAACTGACGAGTGTGGACGCTTGTGCCCGCAAATCGATGTCGCTGCTGATGCTGTCGTCGCTGCTGCTTGGTGTTGCCGCATCCTGACTTGTGATGTGTCTCTGCGCCACATCGTGGCCCTTGTTGCCATTGCGCTTATGCACGCTGCAGGCCTTTCACGATGGCGGAGATCGTGGAGGAGTGTGGCAAGGAAGTGGACGAACGGCACGTGCAGGCGGCTCTGAACAAACTCGTGCACGCTTCAAAGGCGTACGTTGTCCCGTGTGCGTCTGCCTGCATGATGATGTACAGTGTTGATTTGTGCCTATGTTTCGCTGCATCTGTGTGTGTGTGTGTGTGTGTGTGTGTGTGTGTGTCTGTGTGTATGTTCGCGTGTGTGTGTGTGTCTGTGGCACATGGGTGATTTATGGCTTCCCCCTTGATGGCTTCGCCCTTGATGGTTCCTCATTGTCATCTTGTGTGCTCAACTGCTGTTGGCCGTGCTCTGTGATCCGCTTCAAGGCAACGAAAGTGGCTCAGCGCAGCTGGAACCAACGTGTATTGGGTGACAAGCAGAACACCCCGGATGCCGCCAAAACAACCAACACACACTCGCTCTCAGCCTTCCTCGGCCTTCAAAACGCCACAACGGTATGGCCAAGTGTGAGTGAGTGTGTGTGTTTTTGTGTGTGTGTGTGTGTGTCTGTGTCTGTGTCTGTGTCTGTGTCTGCGCTTGTCTGTGTCTGCGCTTGTCTGTGTCTGCGCTTGTCTGTGTCCGTCTGTCTGTCTGTCTGTCCGTCCGTCTGTCTGTGTGTGTCTGTGTACCTGTGTCTGTGTCTCTGTCTGTCCTTGTATCTACGTGCATGCACCACTTCATCCAACGCACGACTCAACGCTTACACCCTCACTGTCGCTGCTGCTTCGCTTCTTTTTCAGGTCAAGGCGATTGAAGAAACCCTTTTCAACGCCACGCCAAGCCACCTCCTCTGCCTCCACCCCCAACACAACTGGCCGACACCAGGACTCGCTCCTGTCTGTATCAGAGGACATCAAGACATTGCAACAGCGAGTGGATCAACTCTCACAAGAGTACGTTGTATGCCTCTTGCACACACACGCACACACACGCTTGCGATCGTGTGAAGGTATTTAGATCCTCGACGTGTGTGTATGCGTGCACACGAGTCCTGCCATTCGTTTTGTGATCCATGCTCACATTTACTCTTCCATTCACGTCCTATCTTGCTGCGGTGGCACAGGTACAGCGCGGAAGAATTGGACACGCACATTGACAAGCTTCACACGTACAACGACCTGAAAGATGTCGCACAAGCTGTCATGGGAATGCTCGGTAAGCACATGTACAGTGCATGTTTTGAATGCACACGTGCACGTGTGTACGTGTGCGTGTGCGTTTGTTTGCTTGGAATGAGTCTCTTCCCTCCTTCTCCTCCACTTGATTTTGTCTCCGCTTGAATCCATCGTCGTTCCATTTATTCATCATCATCATCATCATCATCATCATCATCATCATCATCATCATCATCATCATCATCATCATCATCATCATCATCAATCACACCTCACAGCAAGCCAGGAAGGGCTGGCAACGCGGGCCATGTATGAACGATATGACTTGGACCTGGCGGATTAATGTAACAACTGCACCACCTTTCTACACACACACACGCGCACACACACACACACACACAAGAAGCTCTTCATAGCAGGCAACTGGTATGCCACATGGAATTGACTTGATTGTGAACAAGCTCTCTCTGTCTCATAAACGAACGGCAATGTACAAAACAAGCCACGTGCATTAGGTTAGGTCATCTAGCTGGCGTAGAGGCGCGTGTGGAGATTGTTGGGTCTGTTCACAGCACTCGGCAGGCCCAAACCTTGCACCCACTGTACACTTGAGGGTGCACGTCGTGTCACTGCTTCGGCGCCCCCGTTCTGTTGATATCTGTTGTTTTGGTGGAAGCGGGGGGAGGTGAGCAAAGGTTGAAGGCACACAAACCACCCTTTGCACCTCACACGCACACCACATATCCACAAAGTTTCGCAGTCCACAGCAAAGGCTGCGAAGCGAAGACACATATCGCGATACTCACACACACACACACACACACACACACACACACACACACACACACACACACACACACACACACACACACACACACACACACACACACACACACACACACACACGCAAACCACAAGCACTCGAACATCACAAGCACTCCACTCACGTGATTGGACGGCGTCGGGGAAGAATTGACAAAACGCAAGACTGCGACAGCGTGAACAAGAGCGTTCTACAAACACGACACCACACACACAAACACACACACACACACATGTACGAACATGTGAGCTGTTGGCAATAGCTGCATCGCGTTCAAACCACCAGCAAAAGACCAGTGAACCACCGTGAGCAACCACGCAACCCGTCGCAGGCACCGGTGTGCTCAACACACAAGAGCACCTGGTAGTAGCTCTTCCTCGCGAATCATTCTCAACGTCTGGCCCCGGCATCGACAAGCCCCCTTGTCCAAGTGTTGCACGACTGCAAATTGCCACACATCATCATCAAGCAAGTTGCACGTCAATGAAAAGAACTGCTCACATTACTTGCGTGTGTGTACTTGTGTGTGTGTGTGTACTTGTGTGTGTGTGTGTGTGTGTGTGTGTGTGTGTGTGTGTGTGCTTGCAGGATCATGTGGTTACCAGCGCAAATGAATGTCTCGCTCTCTCTAGACGTTGAAATGACTGAAGAGCATCTCTACAACAGCTGAATAGAACGCACACGCTCATTCATACATACCACAACCGAGGCCCTCCCCCTTCTCGCCTCACGCGCACACACACACACACACACACCTTGGATGAAATCCTCGACTGTGGCCGTGTTGGAAGCTGAAGGCGTCTGACGCCAGCGCGTGACATCATGGTAGAACAAGCTGTCGACAGTGTTGAAATGACATGACAAAACGATGTTATCATGACGTCACTTACACCTTGAACTAAACGAAACTTGCAATCAACAATTCAACCGTCACACAGTTTGTGGGAGCGTGCAAGCAAGCAAGTAAGTGAGCAGGACAACACAACACCCCACCCCCCCCCTTTCCGCACACACACACACACACACACACACAAAGGACTTGCCTGTAGCACTTGCGACACGATTGTCTTTGATTGATGCGCGTCTTGCAAGTGAAGATGTGCTGGCACACGCGGCACTTGACAGCATGCGCTGACAGGGCGCGCTGCCCACCACCGGTTCTGGTGACGGCGCCGCTCGGTAAAGGCACAGCTTGGGGTCCCAGCGCCAGGGACGCGCGGGCGGAGGAGAGCTGGGCCAGAACTTGAAGCTGATATGCCGCCAGCAGGGCGCCCATCACCTCCGTGTTCGCTGCAAGCTCAGGGGGTACACCAACACCCTGTGTCGACACAACCTCCGACTCCAGAGAGGACACGTCGTCCCTGTCATCACCGCCACTGGCCTCGCTACCACGTGTGTCGAAAAGCGAGCGCGTGGGACGGCCGCTGGGAATGGCAGGCGAGGGTGCTGAGGGAGGGTGTGATTGCTGGTTGTTGGTTGAACGCGTCGCGATGGTGGCACTGGTCGAGTGTTGCTGATGTGTGGGCACGAGCGAAGTCGAATTAACAGGCTGCTGACCGCTGTCACAGGCTCTGTTTGCGGTTGCGGTGGTGCTGGTAGTCGCTGTGCCGGGCAGAGGGCCCGTGTCACAAAGCTCAGGCCAGACTAACTCCCCCGTTGTGTCTGATTGGGGCGAGAAACTGCGTGAGTGCACAGGGGTTACGGTTGTCGTTGTCGCTGCCGTTGAACGGCCCTGCATGTCCTGTTGCAAGCGCTCTTGCGATGGACCGACGACACCCTGAACACCAAACGGAGCAAGCACAGGTCCTTGCCGTTGAAATACCGTGCGCGTTGCAGCATCGGGTGGTGTCGAGGGTTGGGCTTGCCTTTGCTGTTGCTGTTGCTGCTGTTGTTGTTGCTGTTGCTGTTGTTGTTGCTGTTGCTGTTGCTGTTGCTGTTGCTGTTGTTGTTGCTGTTGCTGTTGCTGTTGCTGTTGCTGTTGCTGTTGCTGCTGTTGCTGTTGCTGTTGCTGCTGTTGCTGTTGTTGTTGCTGTTGCTGTTGCTGTTGCTGTTGCTGTTGCTGTTGCTGTTGCTGTTGCTGTTGCTGCAAAGACAGCCCAAGATGAGCCCCCATGCGCAAGCCCATCTGCACATCGTTCTGCCCTGTACCGGCCAATGCGGCAGCTGCGACTTTGTTAATAGACAGAGGAAAGCTACAGCTTGCGTCATGTGCTGCATGTTGGCTCTTCTGTGGCTGATGCTGGCCATGCTTCCCGAGTTCACTTGGCGGTGGGTTGTTCATCTGCTGTCGGATATGTTCTTGGCACTGCATGATGACAACCTGCAGCTCTTGCAGCTCCCGCAACCGCCTGTGCTGCTGAACCTGCCACGGGATTGATGCTGAGGATGACTGCTCGCTGTGTGCATCGTGGGCTGCTTGCTGTTGCTGCTGTTGCTGCTGTTGCTGCTGTTGCTGCTGTTGTTGCTGCTGCTGCTGCTGCTGCTGCTGTTGTTGTTGTTGTTCCACATTCCGGGTCACTGTCACGGGCGGCTGCGACACTTCATCCGGCAACACCTGCGGTGCAACACCGCGACAAAGCTCAAGATGTTGCTGCGCGGCTCTCTGGTGTGCTTGTCGCTGGGTCCAAGATGTTGTGCATTGTCTCTTATTGGCATGCTCACCCTCCTCTCCTAACTGGCTTGCTGATGCTGCTGTCTGTTCCGAACTCTCTTGTTGCGCTAGTTGATGTCGCTGATAAGAGCACTGACGTCGTGGCGAAAAGATTTGGTGCTCCTCTGGTACTGCTCCGACTGTGCTGTGTTGCCTCAAGCCATCTGCCTCGCAACACAACCCACTCTGACTCTGTCCTAACCTGTGCTGTTCCTGTTCTGACTCTCGCTCTCGCTCATACTCAAACTCTCGTCGGGGCTGCTGAGGTTGCTGCTGAGGGCTGTCCCACGAATGTGCCTCTTCCGTCCGAGGCGCTCCATCCGCCTCTGTGCTGTCCATGCCCAGAATGTGTCGCACTCTCCACCGCTGACTCGGCTGCTGGCGTGAGGATGCTGCTGTGGGTTCACCTTGCACTGTGCGTTCACACAGTTCTCCAGGACGGTGTGGCTGACTGACAACGTGCTGCAAGGCAGGAGATGGCAGTGGTGGCAGAGATGAGGGGATATGTTCTGTGTGCTGTGCGTCCAGTTCGTGGGCTGATGCCACACGAGGATCGGCAGCGGTGGTTGTGAAAGGGGTCGTGCTTGACAATGACGATGGAGACGTTGATAATTCCGGGTCAAGCATTGTGCGTGTTGATGCGTGGGTGGCGCTCTTGGTGCTGGTGATTGTCGGGTTCTTGCTGGCTGTGCCCCCAAAAACCTGCAGAGGGTGGCTGCCACGTAGTCTGTCGTGTGCTCGCAAAGGCAAGCCGCCTCCCAAAATCCCGCGCGATACTCGAGCCTGTTGTGGCGGCAAGGCTGTTGTTGGCTGGGCCCACAACAGGCCGATGTTCAATCCACCCGTGCCCTTGGCGCGTGGAGTGCCCGCTATTGTGGACTCTGCCTGTCTTGACTGAGGTTGTTCCGCGCCAGAAGCGAGCGTGCTGGTGGTACAGCTGGTGGAGCAGGTCGTGGGAGAAGTGGTCGTTGCAGCTGGCGCTGCTGTCACTGATACTGGTGGTGGCGGCGGCGCTGGCGTCGGCATCGTCATCGTGGCTGCTCTTGTTGTTGTCATTGTTGTTGGTGCTGCTGGTGCTGCTGTTGTGGCTGTCGTTGCTGCTGCTGTGGTTGCTGCTGCTGCTGTTGCAAGGACAGCGCTTGTGTCATCTGGCCGGCATGAAGGGGCAGGGGAATGCAAACGAGACAGCAACAATTGGCCACCTTCAGTCAAAAACGGTGTTAATGCAGGAAACGCGTCGTCGCCGTCTGGGAGCCCAGAAACCAGCATTGGTGGTGCTGCCCAGAGGGGATCAGGTGCCGTTGCAGTCGGGGAGCAAGTAAGGCCGCCGGTGTCATTGCTGTTGCTGTTGGCTGCACCTTCCTCAAACACGGTTGGAAAGTCGGGTCCAAAGAACACGCTTGGCCTTTGCGGCTGCCCATCTTGTCCATGGGCTGATGCTTCGCTCGACGTCTTCTGCTGCGCTGTTGGTGAAGGGATGTGCTGTGTTTGTGCGAGTGGGTGGGGCTGCACGGGGTTTGAAGGCGTGTTGTGGCTGCTGTCCTGAGGCTGGGCCTTTGAGCTGGTGTCGTCGTTGTTTGTGGTGGTGTTGTTTGCGGTGGTGTTGTTTGTAGTTGTGGTGGTGTTGTTGTTGGTGGTGCTGGCGGTGCTGTTGTTGTCTTGTGCGTTGTGCGGCCTGTTTGTGTTTGGTTGCAAACCCCAAAGTTGGTGATGGAGTAGATAATGGATGGAGGAAGAAGGGACGTTTGAGGTTGGTACGGGGGACGTTGGTGAGGTGGACGTTGGTGGGGCTGCAGAAGAACGCGTGAGTTGAGCTGTGGACATGCTGTTCTGCAGCAAGGTGCGCAACAAGGGGCTGGAGAGTGGAGAGAAGGGCACCAGGAAGTTTGTGTTGAGGTGGTGGGTAAAGGCTTGCAAGTTTGTGTTGCGACTTCGCTGGAGATGGAGGGCTGCTTGGTTGCGATTGTGGGTATCGGCGTCTGTTCTGCCGGTACCAACTCTTGCGGCTGTACTTGTAGGCTCGTCATCAGCTGCATTGCCGGTGTTATCACCGAGCTTTAGGTTTAGCGGCTGTGGTCTGTGTCGAGGTAGGCGGGGTGCCTGACGGTTGCGACCTCTGTCGCGTGCCTCGTTCCCCTGCTCAGCCATGATGCCCGAGCTCGTTGCAACAACAATGACGAGTACACCCCCTTCGACTACTTCGCTTCTCAATCACCTTCGTCTGTTCTGTTGGTGGGAAAGCAGATCGGCAAGTTGGCGGACAGCAACACCCAGCCGAGCGCGCTAAGCCTTCTGCGTAAACGTTTCGTGACGTAAACGATGTGTTGTTCCTTTGTTTGCCCCACTATCTTGTGTCGTGTCGCTCCCACCAAATTTCTTAAGTGTTCGAAACGAATTGTGCAAACAAAGAACAAGAGGACCTTTGTGCTCGTGTCCCGAACGATCATTTGTATGCATGCACGCAAGCGAAGAGCCGAGGGCATCAGCTAGGCCTGTGGTAGGCCGGGTAGTGTGGGTGCAATAACATTTTGGTTGAGGGGAAGGTGCGACGCTTTGCCTGCTTCGGGAGATCTTGGAACATGAAGAAGACAGGAACGCGAGCGAGAGTGTGTATCGAAGGGTCTGATTCGCCGGCAGCTTGGCTGTGCGGACAAGAGTGCGAGCGTTTGTTCCGGGTCGGTGGCGACGTGGATTGCCCTCGGCGTGTGTGGAGTTCCACTCACGAGCACACGATTGTGGGATGAGCTGGTGTGAAGTGCCTTGAAACAAACAAGAATGTATGTAGACGAGGCATGTTCGTGTGCTGGTCAGAATGGGCAGGGGTGGTGATTAGAATGTGTGGTGCATGAAACGGACATTTTGTTGTGAGTTGAAGTGACGGGAAGCCGTAGGGGGGGGGGGGGCGGGCAGCTTGCACAGTGTGCTTGTCTCGTGTGTGTATGTGTGTGTGTGTGTGTCATATGTGTGTGTCATGTGTGTGTCATGTGTGTGTGTGTGTCATGTGCGTGTCATATGTGTGTGTGCTGTACGAAGTCATCTTTGGTTGTTGAGGGGTGGGGAAGTGTTTTCGATCTGCCATGAAACAAGGGAAAAGCAAACTGGCAACACGGGCCTCCATTTCGTCACGGCCAATGGCAACATGTGACATGTCACGATTCTCCTCGGAACGCGACGAGGCCAAGCAAAATGCAGGGGCAAGGGGGGGGGGGGGGTTGTGGAGGGGCGGGGGTTGTGAAGAAGAGGAAGAAGAGAAAGGAGAAGGCAGGGAAGAAGAAGAGACATGAGTGTCTCTGCTCAGCAGGCGAGGGCGCCCATGGGATCCCATGGTGGCAGCTCAACCACATCCTTCATGTCCACCTTCACCATCTCCTCCACCATGGCCTTGGGTGCAACAATCTGGTACCTGTGTGTATGTGTGTGGGGGGGGGGTGAGAAAAGAAGGTTTGAAGCGCAGGTGCACGTGAAGGTGGGAGGCAAAACGAAGGACAGGCAGGCAGGCAGGCAGATAAATCTGACACAGACAGACAGACAGGGACAGGCACACACACACACACGCACACATGTGGAGAGAGCAGGAGGACTCACAGGTATTCATCAAACCACTCATCGGTCATGAGGTAGTAGCCGCTGTCACCAACGTCCTTTCCCCACGAGTTCTCAACCCGCCACTTGTCAATCTTCCCATCAGCCTCGTTGTACCCTTTGTCAAGTGTGTGAAGAGGTGTGTGTGTGTGTGTGTGTGCGTGTGTGTGTGTGTGTGTGTGTGTGTGTGTGTGTGTGTGTGTGTGTGTGTGAATGTGTGAATGTGTGTGTGTGTGAAGGTGCATGCATAGGCAAGTGCGTGTGTGAAGGTGCATGTCTCGGCAAGTGCGTGCGTGCGTGCGTGCGTGCGTGCGTGCAAACGGACCTGTGAAGACCATGGCGTGGGTCATGAGAGACTGTCCGTAGCGCAGGCGGTCTGCCTTGGAAAGGGCGGGGCGGGTGCCAAACACGAGGTCGTAGTCAAACAGGCGCGTGTCCATCACCGCCATCTTGCGGTGGTACTCTTTGCCCACGTCAACGCCAAACCACACAGGCATGCCTGAGGATCAAGACAGGACAGAGGGAAGTGTGGGCGAGGGTTGAATTGGAGTGAGTTGAAGTGAGTGAAAGTGTGAGCAGGCCAACAGAGACGAGGATACACACACACACATACAGATGCAAAGAAGAACTAATATTCCAAACACACACACACACACACACCCACATACCCACACACAGTACACCACCTTGATCAAGCTGCTTCTTGCAGAGAGAGCGGATCAGGTCAATGGGGACGTTGATGTGCTTGACAAGCTCGCGGTCGCCACCCAGCACATTGCCGAGATACTTGACCGTGTACACGCGCTCAACGGCGTTGCGCGGATCATGAATCAGGCTCTGGTAGTCCTCAACCTATTGATTGGACGGTTAGATGAGGGGGGCAGGGGTGGTGTGTGAAGGTAGGTGTGTATGAGTGAAGAATTGACCAGGGGTTCTCAGACAGCAAAACGATACAAGAGCCACAGTGCACACACACACACACACACACACACACACACACACACACACACACACACACACACACACACACAAGACACAAACACACCCTTCCATACGCACCTTGAATGGGACGTATTCGCGGTAGAACTGCAATGGGGTGAGGTTGGAGATGCGGTGGAACTTCTTGTCCGTGTCCGTGTAGCACCAGTCAAAGGTGGTGGGCGGTGTGCCGAGGTGGATGGCCAGCACACGGTACACCATGGCAAGAAACGCATCCCGCTTCTTGGCAAGCTCTTCCTTGGACAGCTCGCGTGCGGTGGCGCGGAGGTCGCACGCAAAGTCGCGAAGCTTGGCCGTCAGGAACGCGTTCATGTGGCGCGTGTTGCACGAGGAGAACGACTCCGGGTACTGCGACTTGGGCACGATGCCGTACTTGAGGACAATGTTGACGGCCATGTCCCACTGCCCGCCGTCGCCGAGCGGATCGCTGAGCAAATGCTGCACGAGTCGCCCGTCCAGGTCCTCGTCCAGCGTCTCCAGGATGGCGTTGGTGAAGTAGTTGGCGCGCTCCAGCTTGTCCCAGAAGAACAGGTACGACTGCGACAGCTCAAAGTCGTCGGGGAGGTTGTACTTCTCCTTCATGGCTGCAAGCGAGAAGAGGCAAGGGGGAGGGGGAGGCGGAGGAATGTGTTGGATGTGTACATTTGAGGAAGAGCGCAGGTGAGCACATGGGTCGTTGAAGCAAGAGGAGGGAAAGTGTGTGTGATAGAGAGAGAGGGAGGGAGGGAGAGAGAGAGAGAGAGAGAGAGAGAGAGAGAGAGAGAGAGAGAGAGAGAGAGAGAGAGAGAGAGAGAGAGAGAGAGTGTGTGTGTGTG